GCGAGTATGAATGACGTCCATAGGCCGCGAGGGCAGGAGTCGGGAGCTGCATAAGCTGTGAACCACGTAGGTCGTTGGGGAGAGTATTAGTGATGGCCTATGATGTTCGTAGGCCGTGAGGGCCGTAGTCAGGAGCTGCATGAACTAATGACCATGTAGGTCATTGTTGACACATGGACCGTAATGAAGAGCTCTTGTCACACATAAGGGAAATAGTTACTAGAATTTTCATGTTATAACATTGTCGATTGACGGTGTGTGGTTGGTACTGATTGACGATGGTGGTTAGCGGTGGTCGACAACAGTTGGCGGTGGCCAACGACGGTCGATGGTTGTCGAGGGAGGTCGATAGTGGTCAACAGCGATTGACAGTGATGCTGAGTTGTAGCTTCTCCTGAAAGTCTCTGGCTCTCTCCAGGCTTTCGCCTCCTCTCATGCAAGGGGTACGGTTCTATTTATAGTATTCTGGGTACAATTAATACACTAATATGAACTATTTTTATCGGACGGTTCAGAAAGTTTCCTTGAATCATACGGTGTTTAATGGACATTTGAGTGACTTAATGATGTCGGAATTGAGTGATCTTGGGCTCGTTGGATTCGTCTTGTCGAGAAGCTCGATTTGAGTATAAACTTGCTAGTGTCAGTATCTGTTTGACCTTCCAAATATGTCCGAAAATCTTCAAAGAGTTGTTTCATGACTTGATCTAGGCTCAATTTGACTCAGATCGAACTAGTTTTTATATCATCAGGTTCTTCTCATCGAGCCGATCAGTTTGACTTTAAGTTTACTGAAATCGGAGCTCTGGATGACTTTTAATCAAAATTTGAACGTTTTTTATTCAAAATTTCATCTCGAGATCCGTGTCATGCCTCGAGATTCGTGCCAAAGAATGAAAATTTGTTGATGGCGTATCAGAAGTATTCTTCAATGGTTTTAATACGTCATCAATATAAATAATGATTTATTTATTTAAGTATATCATTCATAATGTGTGAAATTTGGATTGAGCATTTTTCACTTCAAAATGCTCACTTGTCCATTTGATATGACTAAATGGACTTTAAATGATGTCTTATATATATA